ATACTTGTGCTTGTGAATTCCAACTGCGTAGCGAATTGTCAGGAATTGCATGGCAGTGACTCCCAGTATTCGTCAGGAGTATCTCAGCAGCCACGGAATTACGTGAGCAATGGGGAAGGTGTCGCTGGTTACCAACAGGCTCATGTATCTAATGCTGTGAATCAACACAGTGGATACAGCGCTTATTACAGGTGTAGTATTATGACAACTTTTTTGGTGTGGAAAGTTGTCATACAAATGGTCTTACTGACTTGGCTATGGCACTTGGCAAAATATAGCTATACATCGAAAAGGGATTTGAATAAACTTTAATTTAGTTTTTTTTTTATTGCTGAAGCTTAAGTAGCTATACCACTGAGCCTCAAGCAAAAATAAGTTAACTTTTTCCTGCCTAACCTGCAAATAAATTGTTATACGTATGCATTCTTGAATATTTTATGCTTTTTCCCCGACATATATCTTGTGTGTTGTGTAAACAGTAGAGTATAGTTTATAGCGAGGCTATTGGGTATAAGGGCTTATACCTATGATATTCTTCGCAATGAGAGATATTCTGATAGGAGTACAGTATATATATCTATAGATCCAAATAATTTGCGCAGCAGAAAATAAAATAAAGAACGTCATGCAGATTTTGACCAAATGTGGGAATGGTATGAAACCGAATAGGTTTGACCGGATGCGAGGTTTTGAAAAAAAAAAACGTTTGCCATACGCCAATATTTTCATTTTATAAATCTATTTGACATATCCAACAAGAAGAATGTGATGCTCATTCAATGAAAATGAGTAATGAAATAGATTTCAAGGATGAAAATCTATATTTGAAATATTTGTATGAAGAATGCTTCAATGTAACTCAAGTACTGTACACATTTTCGTCTTCATAAAAATATTTTCTGGCAAACAATGACCCAGAGAACCTTCTTTCTTCAAATGAGTGTATCTCACGTCAAATGATAAAAAGTGCACTATTCTTCATCGTGTCCCAAAAAAATTAAAAAAATTTATAAAACTTGAACCAGGACGAAACCGCGTGAACTCTCAAAATGAGTTATATATTTTTTTCTGTACCCCTCGGTTATATTTTTCTTTCAGGAAATTTGCAGGAATCTTGAAAATAATGGGAATGTCTGTTTGTCTTCCATAGGACGGACTATTATGACCCCAGGGCCACGTGCAGCTCTCACTTTGGACAATCGGGCACGTGCAAACCCCTGGTCAGCTGCTCCATCCACTACACAAGGATCGTAGATGCTTTGCAGACACCATGTTACTTGCCTGATGGCATGGTGGGGGTCTGTTGTCAAGACCAGAGTGAGTCAATTCACAAGTACTCCATCTGAAAGTCTGAGGAAAAAAAAATTATAATGAAAAGACGACGTCACTCACTTATCCTTGACAAAAACAACTGGACACCTTTTTTGTCACTGTATGATGTGTGTGTAACCTCCAGCCTGGAGGAATTATTACCCCTGGGTGGTGCTGGGATTTATCTGAAAAATTGTGCCACAAGGAGTGAGAAACACAAAAACAAGAAGGATTAGAAAAGCCAAATGAGTTGGGAAAAATCCCAAATTTGTTTTGCATTTCTGCAGAACAATTTTCATCAAAAAAGGAAAAAAGGTGACTGTTGGCTGGCATTTTTCCCTGCATTTCTGTCATAGGATTAACATACAATGGCTTTCCCTTTCCCCATTTTTTTCTCAACTTTGGCTACTCAGCCAGAGCTGCATTTTGGTGACCTTTGGTCAGATGAAAACATGCAAGATTGCAAAAAATTGTGGAAATGGAAAAGGACCTGCCATCACCCAAGGGTCTTGACCTCAAAAGTTCAATTTATTTAGTTTTGGTGTTCAGTTTTGTATATGTTTCTTGAAGATCAGATTACTGTACAATATTTCCTTCCAACTAAAAACCATCCAATTCAATTTGCAACTGGAAGATCAAGTCCTTCTATTTAAGACAAATGAAAAATATAAATAAATTATTCCTCAGTACTGTTTATACATTTTGAATGGTCTCCAAACTCCAAGAAAAACATGAAAAA